GTTGATGTTGTTCTTTAAGCAAAGTAGATGTCAGAGTGTATTGAGGAAGTATTTCTTCCAGTGGAAGCTTCATTCTTGTGAAGTTCCCCTGCTTCAGATGTGATTTCTGAGACTAACAGTGAGTCAAAAACTTAGCATGTGAATTAAACAAACACCTGCCTCCACATACTGGATAATAAGAAAATGTTATCTATGTTTTATACAATTTAAGGTATAGAAGAATGATATTGGCCCCTGGGATACAGGGAGAAACTGGGGCAGTGGACTGTATGTCACATGAATTGACTCAGGTGACATACTTATCATTGAGAACAATTTCCCATATCCATGGTCCCTTGAGGTTTGGGTGCTAACAAAAATCTCTTTTCCATGTCAGGGTGCTAACCAACTCTCCCCTTCCAAAGCACTTCACTGGTCATGAAGCAGAGAGAAATCTCTAGCATTGCATGGAGAGGTTGTCAAAGGCTATTCCCTGGGTCACATAAGAGGCTCCAGGAAAAGACACCCCAGAAATTGGACAATTTGGAGACAGCTAGTTAGCAGGCAGGTCATGGCAGTTCCAAGTGACATCATCAGTGGAATGTCCTCCTTGGACAATCTCTTGTATCTAGGAAAGAATTAGAATTCTCTGTGACGTCTCCTGTGTTGTGGTGATAACAATGCCTGTGGGATATTTCTTCAGTGCCTTTTGGGTTCACAAACTAACATGTTTTCCAGGCTGTTTAGAGTATTTCGGAGAGAGAATGGAGATCAAGGAGAGACCACACCTAACAAGAAGGAAGCTGGCCTCCTGTCTTGTAAAAACGGAAGAATGAAATCATTCTGGGGAAGGCACAGTGAGTTCTGGGTAGAGTTGGGGAATCTCCTGGAAGAAATAGGCTTGAGCTGGGCCTTCCAGGAGTATGCCTTACTAGCTGGAGCCTTGGAATTCCTCAATGGCAGAACAAATGTAAAGAATCTCTGATTATTAGTTTGACAGAGACCAGGTATTGAGAAGCCTGCAGCTCCTTTTCTGGGAGCTATTTAATTTGATTTTGAGTGGTAAAGAATGCCAGGAGGAGGCACTATGAGATTTACAATGTGTTCATTTCTGGGACGAGTTGAAGCCCTTCATCCTCTAGATTACTGCAGGTTAAAGGAGTCTCTGTGGACAAGGACAGAGAAGGATGCTACCCTGGTCATGTATGTTGTCTCAGAGGCTTTGGGTTTCAACACACATGATTAGACCTTGAAGGTGCTAAGCAGTATGAACTCCAGGATTTACCTGCCTCACTTCTGATATGAGCTGACAATGTTCTCTAAATGTTTATGTCTGAGGCAGCTTAAGGATTTCAGTGCAGGCGCACATGTCATAGGGAGCATGGCATATGTATGACAGTGGTGGTTGGGAAGAGGGATATAGCTGAGCACAACAGCTCAAAGATAGCTTTTCTGCTCTTTCTGGGATTCACCCTGTCTCTGGCTTGTCCACTTCCTCACCATTCTTTTATTTTTTTGGGGGGGGACTCAGAATGGTCTCTCCTGCCCCTGGGCCATCAACTATGCAAATTCATTTGTGATTATCTATCTCTAGCTAGCCAAACATCATCCCAGAATTCCACCATCACTAACCAGAAGCAGAAGACGACACTGCAAGACCTGAAATTTGAGATCAAGAAGATGAGCTTTGAGAAGGAAGAAATTTGTCAAATCCTGAATATGTATAATTATTCTGATTTGAACTACAGGTAGTAATTATGCTCAGTCCCCTGTTGACTGTATTGTGCCCTCTCTATTAACCCAAGATTTCCTCCTGTCAAAGGAGGGTGTCATCTCTAATCATGCATGTTTCAAAGCCCTGAGAGATGTTGAGTAGCAGGATACTTGACATTGAGGCTCTTGGAGTCTGATTGGTTCTGTGAACAGGTGGAAGGACCTGGTCAAACTTGCTTCCTCTCATTGTGTGAATGAAATGCCTGCAAGTCATCACTGCTTTACTCAGAGTTGGTTCATTAGACTCTGAGACTATGGCACCTCCCTGGATTTATTTGGCATTCTAATTGTGTTTGTGTGTGGGTTGTTGTGCCTGTGTGTGAATGAGGTTTGCGTGTGTCCTGTTCGGGATATGAGGCTCTGGGACATTTGATGGGGTTTGAGGATTTGTCTGATGCACACTTTGCAGGTCATGATAGTGTTGAGTCCATAGAGGCCCAAATTGATCAACAGGGTACTATGCTCCTGTGTTTCCACTGGTGTCACAAAGAAATCTCCTTGGGGTGGAATTGATATTAAGCCTCTCCCATGTAAATACTATTCTTGTCCTCTGGGAATTCATGTAACAAGAGGAACCAAGGACTGAGATCACTGCCTTCAAAATAAAAAGAAAGTCATCACAGATATCTGTTGGGTACAAGCTTGTGGCAGAAACTAGAAGAATCTTCTCATAGAACTAGTGTATGGCTTCAGGCTCACATGAGGTGCTCTCGAAGGTCTGCTCCCTCTATTTGGTCCCCTGGCTCTGCAGTCCTGTGCCCAAGATTATAAGTTTAATCAGCACCAATAGGACCCAGTTCCAAAGAAAAGGATGTGGCATCTATTATTGTCTGGGGTAGTCCAGGATATAGCAGTTTTTCACATGATCCTTCAATCCTTAGCTCAGTGGATTATTTGCTCCTTGGGCCGTGCCCTAACACAGGTTGAACATCGAATTCAATATCGTGAAAAGAAACCACGAAAAGACCATGACGAATATCCAGAAAATCACCGAGTCAATAAGTGATGCCAACCAGAAATACAAGGATCTCCTAGGAGATAACTATTCCTACAGGTGAGTGACTGACACAGCTGAGAGCCCAACACAAGGCAGGAAATGCTTCTGTCCTTCTAGGACTTTGAACAAAAGGAAGGGCTCTGGTTCTATACTATCTGTTTCTTAACAGGAACCCTGCCTTGAGGCAAGGGTCATGGATTTGTACCTCTTGGACGCAGGTGTCCTAAGTCTGAAGAGTGCATAAGTGTATAAGTTTGTATAGGTTTGTAAGACCCTCCAATCTTTATGCTTCCAAATTCAGGATCCTCTACATAGAAAACATTTCCACCTTGATGGGAATATCAAGCAACACTGAACCTCTAGGGCTCTGACAAGAGAGTGAAAGATCTGGGATCCATGACAAAAATGGAAAGAGTGTATTCCTGTTGGGTCCTCTCTCCTCTCTCAGAGGGGATATGTGCTCTAGCTGCTGATGGTTTTCTAGTACCAGGGATATAAGCACCCATGAGGAACATTTGCAATTCCATGATGGACAGAAACCTTCTTGCTGTCAGGGCTTACAGAAGTACTTTCAGTCTTGTGGAATGTGGCTGGTCTCTGGATTTGACCTCCCTCTAATTGGTGCGGAAATATATCCTGGGGACTCTAGTCTGAGGCTGTCTGGGGACCAGGACACTTGCAGGGATGATGGTACTGGGAGGAGTGGCAGGGAAACGGAAGCTGGCTGGGAATGACCATTTTGTTTGTTTGTGGTTCAGCACCAGGCACTGCCACCTCCTTAGAGAATGTACACAACTGAAAGACAATGTCAGGATATTGCAGCAGAGAATGAAGAAAAATCTGCTGGTAAAGGAGAGTGAAGCAAGAGTCTCCTGTGGGGAAGATAAGAGTTTCTGTGAGGAGGACATCAAGGAAATCTCTGTCCCAAGTGCCGAGCATGAGCAGGTAGGATGAGGCATCAGGAAAAGTTTGCCCTCATGTCTAACCAGAAACATAGACAAACCAGTGTAACTGTCCACCAAATTACCTAGGTGCTCACCTAGGTCTTATCCAAGTGTTCATTTATGTGATCCTTTACAAGGCTTTCTCTGGAGGTAGCCTTTTTCAAGAAACTCCATGTTTGGCAAGCAAAGGCTCCTGCTCTGCTAGAATCTGTATTTGCTTAAGGGAGATAGGTTGACTAAACACCACATCACTGCATGCCATTAAGTTTGAAGGGTGCTAGGTAGAAGCCCTTCTTTAGCACAGCACAGGGCTTTGAAAGATGAAGAAAAGGCCTGTATTGCATTTGCTTTACAGGGATCGTGTGAGATTCCAGGTAGGATGTAGTTTGTAGGGATGAGAGCATATTGTAAATGACAAGAAAATGGAGTTGACTGTTGTCTTTTGGCAGCTTTTGTACTTCTTCTCCCCTTTCCCCTTTCCCCTCGATCTCAAGTTGGTATCTACAGGCTTCATAGATCTTGAATCACACTGACAGAGCCTGAGTAGCAGCTTCTCAGTCCTGTTTTCTTTGAGTGCTGCTCTAGAAGTCCTTGTTCCTGGGCCTTACAATTTGGCCTTCCAGTCTGGAGCTGGCTGGATGAGCAGGGATGTAGGAACGGATTCTCACAAGCTGAGGTTTCTTGTGAGAGATTTGAGGCTTCAAGAAAAACTTTCTCCATATATATCCACCCCCATTCTGACCTTGAAGAGTGTTCTCTAGGGATTTTTATCCCTCTAGGAACAATAGCAGAGTTGTGGCTCTCACTTGAAACATCTGCTTTGTCTAGCATAAATTACATTTTCTTCAAACATGACAGATTCCTCATTGTTTTCTCCTCACTTATGATTTTTGATGTGTGTGTGTGTGTGTGTATTTGTGGTGTTATTGTGTGTGTTTGTTCAGACATTTTTCTGTGTGTGTCTCTACATGCCAAGTTTAATGAGAAATGCACTCTGAGAATTCAGTCTGCTTCTATGAAACATCAAATACAGCAGTCCACTTATTCTGCATCTCCACCTAGCTCCCAAGAGAAACAGGACACCAAAAACACTTGTAAAGTCAGATTTTCAAATGATTAGCAGAAAAACTCTTGATTCTCACTGAAGTCCTCTGCAGCAGATCAAAGGAATATGGTGCATGGAGGTAAGGGGGAGGTTGCTGTCTAAAATCCATGTGTTTATGTCCCTTTTCAGCTCTTGGTGAACTGACAAGGACCACTGGAATGTCAGGTGGCTCTCTGTGTCTTCTTAGCATTCCAGGTTGTTTTCCTCATTGCCTGCTACCATTTCCTTTCCAGCTACCTCTGCTCAGTAAAGTTTGCCTTCGAAATTGTCTTGGATTTTATTCCCTGAGAGATTGAGTTGTTTGGAGCTGTATCTGCATCCTGCAGAAGTCCCAGAGCCGTGGTGGTGCAAGAACAGGGCTGTTTCAGTAGCATCCTGAGGGTCAGGATAATCTAAAGCACTCACCCTATGTTACCTGTGTAGCATTCTGCAACTGCTGTTATTCAAAATCACTTTCTTTGAGTGAAAAACAGTCTCAGTGATGGTTGGGAGTAATGAGGACCTTCAGACAGGTCTGGTAGTGTAAAATCGGGAAGGTCTGTGAGAAGCCAAGTTCAGAATGTAGAAAAGAATTCTCCTTTCACCCAGTTATTTCAGAACATGTAGTAGATGTACACAGAGCACCTAGGCCACATCAGGGTTGTAGTGTTCTGCAGAGCAGCCTTGAAGGAGAAACTATCCTGATGTCCATCAGCTAAAGAATCAAAATGTACCATTGTGTGCAGCCCTTCCATGGACTATAGCTCAGGGTGAGAGAATCCAAACAAGCATTTGGCATTTCAACTTGTCAGCCTTATCTTACTGAAAAATCTCCCTGATAAAGTCATGTAATGGGGAGAAATTTTTTACCTCTCTATCCTGGTTATGGAGATTTCTTATGATTCTGGGCTCCTAGTTTGGACAGCAAGTCAGTCAGGCTATGGTAAAGGGAGCCCCTATTGGAAGACCTGTTTACTTGGGGACAAGTCTGAAACAGTGAACAAGAACAAGAAGCTAGTCTACCACCAGCATGTGATCCTTAGCTGGGAAACAAGCCTACTGTACACAGCTTTGGGAACTTGCTAAGCCAGATTAGATAATAGGCCAAGAAGCCTGATTCCAAGATCAGTTTAAGAGAGGAAAGCATATCACTGACTGAGCTGTCTATATGCTATGCCAGTATGTACCTATCACATTCCAGATTTGATTTTTTATACTTGGGAAATATACTGGGGTATTTTGATATTAGCAATGTCTTGGAAACCTAACCGATTACTGCAATATACAATGCTCCAATTGTGTGAAGACAAACATTTTGTGTGTTTGAGAGTGTGTCCTACAATAGCCATAGACAAACAGGGGTATACCCATTTTTTTCATAACCATCAACTTATAGTTTAGTGCCTCTCCTTGGGAATATTTTCCTTTAACACAATCTTGCTGATTATAGGACAGTGCAGTGCCCATGGATTTCATGTGAGATGGTTTCTCTGGGTATTTGCAGATAAAGGGA